ATTGGATGGGAAGTTATTAGTGGCCGGATCCTTATTAATCGAATCAACACCGTAGGCATGCGGTGGGAATGAAACTTCGCCATTGTCCATACGTACAACTATGTCGTAAGGCTATAGGAAGGCTAAGAAGTACGTTGAATACGACATTTTTATAGCAGTAAATTTTGCCCGCAACATCATCTAGTTAACCAGATAGAATCCCTGTGTCGCATGAAATCATCATACTTTGTACTGAAGAGCATACGTCTGCCCACTGAATTGATGGAAACCCACCGCCTGAGTCATACTCGAATTGAGGATTCACTCCAATTCCAGAAGTGAATAGGCATACTCTTCTGTGATTTCAGTTTGCGGTAGCTGTCGGACTATTTGCTAGTCTCAATCCTGACCTGCCATATTTTCGGGGTTTGGAAATTAGGTGAAGTTAGATTCGTGTGCGACAGCTTATGCAGTGGTGGGCTCATAAAACCAGTATTATTGCAAATTGATTGGAAGGAGAGTTTTGATGCACAATGACAAGTTGACAGAAAACCATAATATCTACTTTATCCTGTAATATTTTCTCCAGTTGCACCCATGTATGTCTAATAATTCTGATCAGTAGGATGGGAGCACTTTAAAAATATGATGTTGATTATTACATTTGTGTTTATCAGAATTTTATCACCGCATGCTAACTGGCCGTAAATGCATAAGACATTGGACTTCCATTGTCCACGTATGATATGTTTGAGGCGCGTGGTTTGTGTCTAGTGACACGACCACAATCTCTAGGTCGTACAGTCTTCAGAGTGGTACATTGTCTGTAGCTGGGGTGTGAACAGTGCAAAACAATATGCTGGACTCTAAGACGAATAACTTTAGTGCTCTCGGGTTTCCCTACCCAATTTATGTGGTTGATGTCTTGGATAAAAATTCATTGGTTGTTGCTGGTGGTGGTGGCGCAGTAAAAACTGGTGTTCCGAACAGAATTGACATTGTCAACCTCTATCGAAATGAAAAAAATGATCCAACTCCTGTTGACTGCCAGGTATTGTGGTTTTTTGGATTATCTTTCAGTAAACTGGCGTATATGCATGCAATTACTTCGGGCGCACATCATATACTTAGGAGCAGACTGCAGATAACTGTTCCACTTTCTGCAATGCGCGCGAAGAAAATGCTAGCTGGGTTGTGTGACCAGGTCCCTGTTGAGTTTTTTGTTTATTTGCCTCTGCGTAACAGTACTCAAGGTATGCATTTAGAACCTAAAGGCCCCATAAAATCCGATTTATCTGGGTATACCTCCACTCAGTCATCCTAGGAGACGAATAAGTATGGTGTAGCTCCAGATGAATGAATTTAATATGCAATGTTCGCTTAAATGGGCTTACACCTTAATCCTGTCTGACATTATTTAGCATTCAATGAACATAGAATTATTAAGCAGTCTTTATGAGGGCAGCCCTATTTGTATCACTAATGAGTGGAAGAATATTGTTATCGCAACAAATTTGTGCGATCTGAAAATTTAAGCTTCCAATCCGCTGGGGCTGAGTATTATAGTATAAAATTTATTCTACAGGGAATGCTATGGGATATCCACTTAAACTGATATTTTATCTGGTGTATTTGAATTAATTGTTAATGTTCACAACCACATAAGAACTATATAAAGTTGTTATTGATATAAGGATAAAACTTGGGCACTGTGGTAGACTGATAGGATTCGGTCTGCACCGAAAAATGGACAAGACACATCACACTAGTTACTAGTGTACAATCAGAGTATAACTGCATTATGGATAGAATTTTATTTTTATAAAATCACAGTGTTGTAAAGTAATATCTACTGATGATGTTTCGAGCACAAATTATTACTCATAATCATATTAAGGCACTCACAACTCTCTCGCTTCATATAGTTTGTAGCCATTTTCGGGTAGGCCACAACGCAGAAGTTTTTTCATGGAGCACCTGAAATTTAATTTTATTATAGCTTGATTCCACACAGTATATTGGTGCAAGTATGAAATTTTCAGCATGTGATATCGGTAGCCCAAATTTAGCAGGCCGACCATAAATATCAGGTGTGCGTCGGCGGGGGGTCGAACCCCGGACCATGTGCATGGTCGGCGAGAGTCCTAACTGCTGTGCCATCATGGGAAGTAATTTCAGTCTCATGTAACCTTTTAAAGGGTATTAAGACTTGTCTACTGTGCTCAATTAAAGCTTGTTTGCTGGCTACAGATCACTGTAGCCTAAGCGGGTGCATGCAGTTCCGTTGACCAACTTTTTATGACTCCTCGAAAAGGAGAGGCAAAATGTTTGACTTATTCGTCGTGTGAAGTATCTTTCTCCCCCACCCTACTAATAGTATCACTCCCTTCACAGACTTTTATAGTAAGCTGCATTATGAAGATGATGAGTAAAGTCTCATCTAGTTGGAATTTTCGGCGTGTTGAGACCCACAAAAACAATCGTTCCAGGCAGCATAACTTGCTATCTGCTGCTGTGATTATCAGGGTGGCAGTTCAGTTGTGACACCATGTTTCTTCCTTCAAGAACATGCGTAAGCTGTCTCAACCGTTGATGTAGTCTTCATCGTTTTCATACTTAAGTTATCATTGATCGCTGTTGAAGTCTTGTATTAATAATATAGTTATGAGCTTAGCTGTACGGTATATACACTTGTTACACTTTTCCATTTGATTTTTTTTCACTTTTATTATGAGAACTTTGTTTTTACGGTTGCTCTTTTCTAGCGTTCTGGAGGTTTGGACACAGGCACAGAAGCTGTTATGAGTCTTACTGTCATCACTCCTGGAGATGGTGGTTACATCGCGAGTTTGGAAGGCCAGAAGTGCGTAGAATACATAGCCCATTCAAAAGTTAATCTCGTGGACTCACCCTTAAATTCATCAAATGTTGAGACCAATGTGTCTTCTACTGACAAGACAGATGAAATAAGTTTGCGCAGAAGAAAAGGTATGTTTCTTCATGTTCCAATCTAAATGTTTAAGTTTCGGCCTATTCATGGGAACTCACCAGTAGGACTTATGACTGAAATATTCAAATTTGCTCTCAGTTGTTTACTAGTCTAATGAATGTGATAAATACCACACACTGAATTACAATCTACTGTTTATCGATATACCAGTGCTTCATTTTTCTGCTGATCTCTGTTTAGAATTTAAAAGATGATAACAGTTTTTTTTAGTGTTATTGTCGTCATATATTTCCATTGTTGTAATCATAAGCGCCCCACAGTCACATGTGTGGGTTTTACGTAGTTCCCTGTTGTTGTAAGTGAATATGAAAGCTAGTACAATAAACAGAAACGAATCAAATATGAGACGAATAAATTAAAGGTATCAAAAGCAAGTAGACGGTATTTTTATGATTCATATTTCAAATAAGAGATCCAAGTGAACATTTGAAGAAATAAAATTTTTTTCATTGCAATTTTTGGCAAATTAGTTAATCCAGCAAACAGGCTTAATTTGCTGAAGTAAAACAGTACACTTGTTTTTTTGGAGGTGAATAGTTTCTCTTTTTCGGAAGGGGTTTATGGGAAGTAAGTCTGAACTTGAGAAATACTGATACTGAAACTAAGGTAGTGTGGTACAGTCTAAATGATTAGAAATAACTTTTCATCGACAGATTGCGTAAGAATAGTTTAGATTGTGAAGATATTATAAACGTAGGATTGCATTAAGTTTGGCTGTAATGGATTACTACCATTTATAACTGCTTAAAAGAATCATATGCTTACTGTAATTCTAACTCTTCCGGAGATCTTACTGCATCTAGTTCTTGAGTAGCTAACGTGGACACCATTTGATCATCCTAGTAAAAAGATTACCTTTTGGAAGTCACATTTTCTACTTAGTGCATCCTAGTTAGTCTTTTTGGAGTAATTCGGATAGGTCTTTAGTTCCATCAGATATAGTGAAGGGATCCTTCTCGATGGTCACAACACGTCTGTTTGACTGTATTATACCCAGCAGCTCATCAAAAAACTACGGTGAAGACAATCTAATTGACGATTTCCATATCACACCATTTACGCATGTTGTGCATTCGACTTTAAAAATCTTGCATTAATCACCTCTTCAAAATTCATTTAATTTGTGTTCAATGATGACTGATGACTACTCTATAAATTATATGTTTTAGGGGGATCTGAGAAAACGGATGAATTAAATAAAGCAGCGATTTCTCCAGAAAAAAATCCAGTGGAAAGTAGTCTTAGTGAATCAATACCTTTAGAGTGGGAATTAACTAAGATTCGTGAATACACACTTATGCAACAGGCTGCGTGTTCGGCTGATGATTCTGGCTCTGAGTCACCCTCAGGTTCTGTTCCGGCAAGTCTATCAGGAACACCAACATGTGTAGCACATGGTGGTCCTGCTGGTACGTGGTTAGCTGTTGGCTCTGATAATGGCTCTGTATTTCTAATTAATCGTTATTCTCATCAACAAGGATGCCTTACCAATGAACAACAGCTAGATGATCTCTCCTCCCAGGTATGTCGTATGTTTTAACTTCGTATTACAATTTCTCTAAGTTAATTTATGCAAGACGTGACTCTCGTGTCTCACTGATCCAGTGGATGACGGTTTGGTGTCCAAAGCCTCAGGATGGTCGGGGATTGGCCACCCCTCCGCACACCTCTTGAAATGCTCCCATATGACCGGGCGTCTTACATAGCCTCTCCTGAGAAAGTCCTACTCACTGCCTTCACGTGGCGGAGGTGTTTTTCACCAAAGTGAGAGGGCGAAAGCGGATGCCCGGCGCTCTTCACCGGGTTGACTGTCCATTGGATGAAAGTCTAGGGGAGATGGCTAAACCCTGATTCCAAACCTCCAACGACTGGCGTATGAAGCTCACTGGAGCTCACCGGCAGACGTATGGACAAAGGGCTTGTTGGATGTCTGGCCCCATTCAAAAAGGCGTATGAACCGAACTCCGGTCACCGGCTGCCAATGGATAGTGGACTCCCTACTCCACTCCTACTGCCTTGTAGGTCACATTTGGTTGTGTGAAGGCTAGAGCTGTACTCTCAAACAAAACCCCGAGCGATTCTGGGGACATCACTCGTACCAAATTCCCATGAAACTTCATGAACTCTCTGTTCATGAAGCCGGCTCATCCTCCTGTCGGAGATAGCCGAAGTAAAGTAAAAGTAAGTAGTTTGATTATCAATTAGCAAACCCTCACTCACTGGAGATACAGGTAAATCCAACTGACTGGTCCCAAATATAGTGAAATGCGTGTCATAATGTCCAGTGATAGCCACCTTGAGTCAAATAACATTTATACTACAAAGATTACTTGTTTTGTTTGAATAATTACCGACGACTCTGTAATTGAAAATTATAGGGGCCATTCAATTTCTCATTGTATACGTTTTATTCGTTCTTTAAATGGCTGGAATACAGATATAACTTAATCTATTTATGTACCATATTATGTCTTGTACAAAAACAAAACAAATGTCTTTGGTCTATAGTTTACAAAGCAAAAAAAACGTAGTGAATTGTTTTGCGCTATATATGTGGCATAGACTTTTCTCGCTATCTTATGAATTCAAATTTTGCAGGGAGATTTCCTAGTGTCAAATTGTATCGTGTACTGATAAGCAGTCAAGATCAAAAGAATATACGCGTAATTAATGCACAGATGGTCTAAACTTCAAAGATTTAAGTTGGTTTCACTTTGGTTTGAGGTAGTTTGACCGACTAACATGTATTAAAAATTGAAATGCCTAACTTGTTAAACGTGTTCATAGCAAGTTTGCTAGTTGTATTGTTATTATCATATATGCTGTACACCATATAACTTAAATTAAGCAAAGCAACCAAGGCATAGTTTTAATATGGTGTTAACATTTTTAGCGAATTTAATAAATTCATCTTATTTAAATGGTAAAAAGGGTGTTCAGCGAAGAATTATTCATGTCAACGATATCATTCTCAAGCTGTACAGTCGCATACGTATAGTAAGTTTTCTTGGGAACAAAAGGAATGTTTCCAAAGATGGGTCATCAGAGTAATAAATTTTGGATAACACACATGAAATGCAGTGTTTCAGGTAGAAACTGAAATAAAATTAAATAAGTAGATTACATGATGTAATAGCCGAGTCATGGTTCATTACTGTAGTCATTAGACCCGAATAACGGAGTTTGGAAGTCCAACTCACCGCACACCATATGCCACACAAAGGTAGACAAATCATTCGAAGAAACAACTATTATGAGCATAAATTATATTATTATTATTATTATTTCCTTTAGTTCCTAGAGGAACATAGGGCTTCAGCCATGCGTCTCCATTGCGTTCGGTTCTCTGCTAGAGTTTTCACTTGGCTCCAGGTCTGCCCACATGCTTTCATCTCCTCTTCACATCATCTCCTCCATGAGCATAAATGAACGGGAGGAACAATAAATACACAAAAAGTAACGAGATTTTGATGGATCCAGGAGTCGTTGATAAAGAGGGAATGGACTTTGACCAGTAAGAGGGATCTTAGGTCGTGTCATGTCACCAACAGACTCCATCCACCAGTGACTCTTAGCATTTCGATGATCCCAGTTCGCCTAACAACCAAGTAGTCTACACCTCCCTATATCGCTGGCTGGAAACAAAACTCAAAGACTTGATGGATTAATGTGGTGTTTTAATTGGACCATCAGTACTTTCTGTTCAGCCCATTCCTAAGTCGGGTAACATGACTCAACGAGGTCGATGATGAATTGGTACGCGTAACTTGTGTCCAAACCATCTCATTCGATGCAATCTCACGACCCTCCTAACCTCAATATTACTCATCATATAATGTCACTCAAGACGGGAGATGGATAGATGACAAGCACTTTTGGTCAATGACAGCCAACCCCATCACGTCAAAGTCTCGTACTTTCAATGACCACGTCCTACAGTCATGAGGACCGAGAAGGCGAACTGTTATGTAGTGCACACATGGCTTGATCGATAGCTAGACAACATGTTTGTTTACAGGAGATACGACGTAAGTTGTTAAGATCCCACAGGTGTCTTTTGTACCAATTCTGAGATTTCGTCAGAAACTAGTCACTTCATTTGGGTTGGTGCAACTCCCCGAATCATTCACTTGGTCAACACGTCCAACCACTTCACTCTCACCCATCTTCAAACTAGGAGTTTGTGTAAACAAGTCGTGCAACATCGTCTAACATTTGGTGATAGGGACGAATCGTTTAGTCGACCTGCTCAGATCTCTCTGCTCATGGTTTTCAGAAGACTGGATTTTTCAGCGTCTCCATCGTGGAATTGTAAATCATCTGCATTCTGTAAATATAGGAGGCTGGTAACGAGTGAATCCCTAAGTCGTTGGAGTCAATTAGAAGAATATTCATTAGAGGATCCATGATGAAAAACGAAGAAGAATGGCGACAATGTTCGTTGATGATGGTGATAAACACCAGGAGAATGACATCATCTCAGATGACAGCTCTTCATAAGCTCTTGCACTGCTCAGTTATTTGGAGTAGACTGAGTTATTCGTCGATTAGTGTGACATGCTTCCTCTTCACTTCTTTAAAGACCAGAAATTGTTTCCTCCAACTCTCAAGTCGTGTTATCTGAGAATTAATAAAGGGCGGCTTGTCAGGGAGACAGTTTTGCATATCATTGGTTATTGACAATACGTTTTTCTAATGGCTCAATGGATATTGTGGTGTTATCTAACAGTGACGTCTTTTCTGTCCCTTGGTCTTTTGTTGCCCACCACTGTTCATAGTTATTGCAACTTGCATTTGAGAAGCTTTCACTCGTCGTCGCGTTCAGAGTCAACTGGAATCAGTCTCTTTGTGTTTAGCAGTTTGGGTGAAGTAACAGAAATCCACTGGCATTTTCCAACCTCAATTTTTATATTACCAGTAGTCTTCAGCACTGTTTCTATGTCTGACTGCATATTATGCCAGTCTTCCTCAGGTAGTAGAGTTTTGCTGTTACTCTGAGATATGTATGTAGTTATTTCTTTAGATTAACACCATCATGTTTGGGGCGTAGCTACTTCGTAGCTGACTGTTTCTGTGCGAGTTCAGTAGTAGGCATAGTTTACAGACTTGTTTTAGAAGTTTAATAATATTAGTATACTTCTAATAGTGTGAATCACATGGTCAATTGTAAAACATTTGGTAGTGTTTGTAGCGTTTTACTAGTAAATATAACCGATAGTATGGTGGTTGTTGAGTTGAATTTTTATGTTATTTTAGTGCTTTTATCATCTGATATTATTTTTGAAAAATGCAAAAATGCTAGTAAAATAATTTGCGTGAATTAATTCCACTTACGTTATAAATCTTTTTATCCCTTTGATACAGTCATTGATCTTGTATCCAGATGTTAGTAGTGGCCTCTCCACTGGTGTTTGCAGTATGGCTTTCTCTCATCCACATATCAGTAGTTCTAGTGATTCTACAACTTATCCGCTACTAGCTACAATATGCGACAGACCTGATTGGAGTACATTGCGTGTATGGCGTACTGATGGTCGATTTTCAAAATCTTTTCTACCTTTGAGTGATATAACATCAATGCGTTCATCATCAGTAAAAGGTCATCAACAAATTAAATCAAAAATATCAGTTTCTAAGCAAACTCTTGCAGATGGTCGGGGTGTTCGATTGAAAACATTTCTTAAAAGTGTAGATACTGATGCCTATGACAATTCATTTAAACTTCAAGATCAAATTTTATTCAGTCATTCAGTAGAAAAATATCCATTCGCTATTGCTTCTTGTAGTTCTTTATCATGTAACAGTACACCTCCACCCTCTCCAACTCCTGTTTCAACTGCATCAGCATCGGGTAAAGTAAGTTTCCCTTGTTAATCTGGATTATTAATTCACCGATAATGATTTATTTTGTGTTTTTGTAAAGTTGCTTAATGTGAATATTGCTCAATTTCCAGTATAATTGTCTTTACAAATGATCTGGTATATTTAAATATATAACATTACTAGAATAAGCGACAAAATAAATAAGGATGCTCAGTAGGCTATCTATAATTCCATCAAATGTTTGCCTTTATGTATATGAGTATTTAATTCATTTTTGAACTGTATTTCATCTTGGCTTTGATTCCAATGATAATAAGCTAAATTAAAGACTCACATTTTGCCTATGTAGTACGACCTGTTAGCGGAATTCATTTACTTCTATCTCACTGAGTTTTTGGTAGTCAATGAGTCATCAAACCTATTGGTTTGAAAAAAACTTACATGTATTTGATTTTCGTTCTACTCCTGGCGAATACTAGTTGTGTGAGTCACATGACAATATCCTTACACTCGTACAGTTTAACTATTTAGGAGAATTTTGATCAATTCTTTGTAGTAAGCTAACAATTAGACTGACAGGCTGTAATCATTCCTTTTGGATATTCGATCTAACCATGTAAATACCTGTGATATGATAAAGACAAATTTACAGAAAGTTAAATTTGTTGTTGTTTCAAAGGTTGAATACTTGTCTCACAACTAGCTTGCACCAACTTCTGTCTGACAATCGGAAGCGATGTTTTGAAGTTTTCTAACTACTTCAAATGTCTTGACATTTATTTGTACTAGTTATGGTGTCATTTATATGTGTGTCTTTTAGTTTCCATCATATTACACCACTTAGGATACAATCGAGATGTCTTATTTTCTCTCTAGAGTCAAGTGTTTGCAAAATGTAATTATCAAACGTTCAGGATCTACATAAACTGCAAGTACTTATTTAGTGTTGTTTATGTTCACTGCAGGTAAGTGTCTGTCGTCAACACCTGCCACCGCCAGCTGGATATTGAAGTTCAGATGACTGACCAGAGAGGATAGACAACAGATAACTCTGGGAACGAACCAACTAAGAACCTGTCGCCCAATAAATACCCAGAAGGGAATGGAGATGTACACACTGAGGAGACCTTGATCGACATCACATATAAGGTAGGTCCTTGAATGGACATGAATGAGAAATAACGAGTTTGACCTCCAAGGTTGATATGGAGGAGATCAGGTGAAGAGGAATTGTCAATTTATGGCTAATCTTGGAGCCAGCTAAAAACGACTGCATAGAACTGAGTGGAATGGCCATATGCTGCCGAAGCCCTATGTCCTACTTGGAACCCAAAGGAATAATGACGATAATTATTTTTCTAGAGTAAAGAACAAGAAGCTCAGTAAATATATCTTTTCAGCGATGTCATCCTCAAGAGCTGTACAATTGCATGTATATATATATATATAATAGTTCCTAGAGGAACATAAGGCTTCAGCCGCACGTCTCCATTGCGTTCGGTTCTCTGCCAACGTTTTCACCTGGCCCCACGTCTGCCCACATGCTTTAATCTCCTCTTCGCATGACCTCCTCCATGTCACCCTCTCACTGACCACCAACTCGCTTCCCATTCAGGTTCCACTCGACAGCCTGTCTAGTGATGTCACTTGATGGTTTTCTCAGAGTATGGCCAATCCACCTCTATTTCTTCCTGCATATTTTTTGCACAATTGGTTCGCTCCCAGAGATCCCTGTTGCTGATCCTTTCTGGCCATCTGATCTTGAGCAAGGTATTGAGCGAAAATATATATATATATATATGTATATAAGAATACTGAGGTAGTCACATGTAACATTTGCGCGTAGATTTTTACTCTTCTAAATTAAAAAGCAATAAAACTAAGTGACAGTCAAATTGGGACTAGCTTTAATTACTTATTCTGTTTAGTAGCGTCAGAATTCTTCAACCACTGTCAGTTTCTTGAATACCACCATAGGAATTTAGAACATTAAAGGGGAGTACTGGTCCAGAGCAACTCTTTGTTGTTCATCGACTGACTAGTTTTCAGTTTATTCTAAAACTAGAAAACACTGATCGGTGAACAAAGGTTTTTGGAAATCTTGTGTTCCAATACTATATCAATGTCATGCATAGCTTTTTAACAGTGGTTATTGATTAGTGAGTATGTCAGTCGTGTATAGATTTCAAGGGATTAGCTGTGCTGTTAACTCAGCTAGATTTCAGTGTGACAAGTAAAAACAAAAAGATTGAGTAATTGAGCAATATGTGCGTCCTTAATTCAGCGTGCTCCGGGGTTCAATTCTCGGCCAACTCACTCATTTACCTCCATCAACTGTGATAGTAAGCCCGATAATTAGGTAAGACTAGGCGTGAGGCTAACAACCCGATCCCATTAAAAAAAACAACGCTACTGAAACTTCGAAGTCCAGACTTGAAGTCCTACGTTTCACTCGAGACGTAAAGGAATTTAAAAATTGAGCGACATAAAAATATTACTTATGTGCATAGTTCTAGACATACTTTGACAAAAGCATATGTCAATTCGTGTGGTTGAATTTCACAAATGTTTGTAAAACGTTATGTGGGTAATGTATCAACTTACCTCATTACAAAATAACTCAAAGAAATGTAATTAGTAAGAATAAAGCGGATAGTACAGTAAACAGATACTTGAAGATTAGTCAAAGCGTTGAAGATAGTAAATCATAAATAAGTCAACTTTGTATCAGAAAAAATTGCTTACTTGATTTATGCGTAAATATTTCTTGTTAATTTCGAAGTTCATATAATCGAATACTTCTCAATCATGTTAACTTTTCAAATTTTCATAGTATTTAGATTTCCTCATAAAGTATATATTACCTTCTAATTTTACCATGAATTTTTGTTCCTTCCACAAATTTCAGGTTGTTGACCGTTCAAATTATCGTTTCAGGCATTGTCAATTTATGAAGTATTCTATCACACCTCAAGTTCCAACCGGTCACACCTTGTCTGCTACGAATTCTAAGGATGAAAAGAGTAATAACGTTGAGTCTATGTTAGTTACTACCCTTCAGCCTTTATGCGCAAATCGGCGAAGTTTTAGTCGTTTAATTGTTTGGTCAGTTCCCCATGCTTCTTCGTTGGGTTCTGAAACAACAGGTACTGGAAGAATCCATCAACCGGTTCAGCTTAATGCCTTTGCAGAGATTACTCTTCCTCAAGGACATCTACCTGCTTGTTTGGCTGTTCATCCTAGTCGGTCACGCGGTCTGATTGCCGTGGGCACTATGGAAGGACGTGTTGATGTTTACTTGTGAGTTCTATTACATTGATTTTTAATATACAGTGAAAACCATTTGATTGCCAGTTTTACACACTTCATTATAATATTTTTCTAGAGGCATATTTACAATCAAAAGTGGTTAGTGACTGTCCTAATGTGAATAAACTGTACTGTTGCATGGGTCAAAAGGTTTTAAGTGTCAATAAAACCTCCCCTGTCCTATCGAACTCCAAATGCAGCCCCTTGCACAAAAATTCAGCAGGTCAAGTCCTTACACACCGTATAACACACAAAAGTAGAGGACTTTGAGCTATGTTACCAACAGTCTACAATCATTGACTCGCAGCATTTTGGGTACATCAGGTAGCGTACACCACCCTATATGGCTGGCTAAAAACAGCAGTCAAAGATGTGGTAGATTAATGCAGTGTTTCGATTTGACCACCCGTAACCCTATTCAAGCACACTCAGCAGTATGCTCCGTCCTCCTTTATGTTTGTGAGACATGACCATTGGAAGCGGGAAACATGGAGAGGCTAGCTGTCTTTGATCATAGGTATCCACGTTCTACCTTTTGTGTTAGGTGATATAATAGGGTGAGTAATATTAAGGTTAGGCGTCGAGTGTTAGGTAAGGAGGGGAAATCAATCGACGAGGCTGTGAAATCACATCGACTGAGATGGTTAGGATATGTATTAGGCATGCTGACTTTCTATCAGGTTAGAAAGGAGCCAGGAGTGATCACACTAAACTTCAGAATCAATCCATGAAATCTTTGACAGTTTGAACCACGTGGAGAAGTGCCTACTGCGTGATTGGGGTCCTCAGAATTTTATAAATTAATGGCTGGGAACAATTGTTGATATGGCTCACTGGCGCAAATGCATTTACTCTCTGTAAAATGCCATATCCAATAAAGGCGTACTGTTTCCCGATGTTGCTATTCTTTTCCACCTACATTTCTGCTTATTATCATCCTTTCGTATCTCCCCCTTTTTCTCTTTTGTCTTCCTTTTGTATGCTACATTAAGTATGGCAACTCAAACTGATGTACTTCTTTGCAAAGTTCTATGTTGAAAGCAGTCAGTTGGCCATTCAGCCCATTCTTATCTCGTGATATGTTTCGACGAGGAAGATAATGATTTGGCTGGTGTAACATGTGTTCTCATCATCTCATTCAATACAGCCTCAAAACCATATTGATTAATTTACCCCCTTCACCTAACACTACGCCTAGTGTCAATATTATTCACCATATGATACTACCAACAGGAGATAGATATGTGGCATGCATCTATGGTTAGTGATAATTAGCCTCTTTAAGTCTTTCACTTTTAACAGCCACGTCCCACAGTTGTAAAGAGGGACAAAATGAACTGCCGTTGAATGCATACGTGATTTGTTCGGTAACCGGATAATATGTCTATGCGAGAGATGTTTTCCGAAAACAGACTCTGTACGAAATAAGGTTGCAGAGTAACTGAGTATGTCTTTCATGTGCTTCTTTAATACTAACACTTACATAGTCATGCTAAAATTAAGTGAATTTTCAGACAGTTTTCTTAAGGGAACCTCACATGGACTTCCATCTATTTTTCCTCATACGGATAGTCACTTGTTTAAGACTTACATCGCTCATTAAATTGTCTGGCTAGCTGTGTGCTTAAGATCCGGTATTGGGTTATCCTCCAGACAGGATTTCTCATAATGGCTATTATCATTATTATTATTATTTAATAGATTAAAGTTTTGCAAGTGGTGGTGCAAGTAGTGGTTAGTTTACTCTTAACTGAGTCTTCCTGCTTCCATTTGATGGTGGCAATATATGCAGTCTTTTACTAAAAACTTAATGGTCACACGTGGGTGAGTGGGCGAATGAATGAAAAATGAATGTCAAGTGTGTATGTGGTTTTGAGTCGTAGATCTGTGCAATATATGTTAACAAGTTATATTCAAGTGTTGGTTTGTAGGGATTTGATTGGTTACAAGATTTTCATCATGAGCTGACATTAGTTAGAGAACCACTGGAAAACCTGGAATAACTGGACAGCCCACTGGGTTCGAATCCCCGTGGGTGCGTACTGCTGAAGAATCCCAAACTAGGACGAAACAGTTGTCCAGTACTCCCAGGTTTTCCAGTGGTTCTCTAACTAATGTCAGCTCATGATGAAAATCCTGTAAACAAGTTATATGCCCTTAAACAGTAAATCGTTACATGAAATTAGCTGTATAATTTATTATTTTTCCCTGGTTGGTTTCAGAATGGGAAATAAAGGCCTTCAGCAGCACATCTCCATTTTACTCTGTTTTCTGCAGGTCTTCTTCTTCTTCCTTCTCACACTATTTTCCTCACGTCACTCTTGGACAAGTAGCCCATCGTTCCCTATTCAAATTCCACTTGTAGGCCTGTCTGTCGTGTGATGTCACTCAGTGCGCTTGTCCAATCCATATTCATTTCCTTCGGCGTATTTGTTTGGATGCTTGTCTGCCAGAGTTCCCCATTGTTATTCATTCCTGGCCGACCATCTGATTTTCACTATGGAGCAAAGTAAAGTGTTGATGGGTCTAAAGTCTGTTGGAGATATTTTCTGTGAAGAGCAGGCGAAAGGTCGATTGCAATATGGAAGCACACACACTCGATGTTGAAGATCTAGATCTTGTTTCTGATACTGAGTGAAAGAGATGTCAACCCTGATTTCAGGTTAGTGATTATGTAGGAGTTAAAAATCTAGCAAAATATGCTACTGTTTATAGTAATACTTCACATTAATGACTTTTTGTATATATGTATATATTTCAGCTTGTCACCGTGCAATCATCGTTTGGTCAATGTATACTCCTTAAAGAATGCTCATCCAATATTTGTCACTGCACTAACCTTCTTACGACAAGATTCATCATTGTCTACACAGAAATTTCAAAAGACCAACTCAAAAACTCATCTGAAATCGGATTCCTTCGATTTAGTCAGTGTTAGCGTAGATCGATTGGTTAAATGGCATCGTGGGCCAACTTATTCAATTGTTGGTAAATTATCACGAGGACTTATTGATATGCATAATAACGATAATAATAATTGGTTTAGGCATATTATTAGTGCAAAAGTTGGCATCTCTATAATTTACTTTCTCAGCATATTAATGTTACCAATTCTTTTGGTGTTGTTTGAGGCTATCTTGTCGAAATTTTAAATAGTGTATTTTATTTTCAGAACATACTCTATTTGTTTGTATACATATGATATGCATATCTATGCGAAATATATATATTTTCTGTCCCACACACATGCAGACGCGCGCGCGCGCATACAATTATCATAACCAAATGTCTTTCATTATCTAGTTATGAGCGATTACTTACAACAGATGATACCTTTATTCTATCAAAATCTGACTAATATCTCTCTCTCTCTCCCTCTCCCTTAATCCAATTCATTTGTCTATATACAATTAACACTAATTCTCTGGATAGTTTAGGTATGGAATTTGTATACAAGATGATTTTTATTATTATTATTACTATTCGTTTTACTCTTTACCTTTTGTCGTGTCCCCTCGCCCTCCTCCTCATTATTATTGTTGATGTCGCTAATATTTAAATAATAATAATTTTATTGTTTTACTCCATGTTGTTAATATATTTATCAGCTCTATCAGTTTACTTGATCTCGATTATTGTTATTATATTCCTCCCCTCTACCTCCTCCTCTTCATTATTATTATTGATATAAATAGGTGAATAAAAACAAGAGTGAATAAATTTAATACCACAGACATTTTTGACCTATCTGTGATCTCTTTTCTGAATAATATCCGCATATATTGTCACAGTTTATTTCTCCTTCAGGATTTACAAAAATAATATTAATAATAATAATAATAAAACTCGGTTCCTTCTTTTCTGTGTGGTTTGTTTCGGTGGTAGTGGTATATTGTGGATATTAGGATATACTACTCTGTGTGTGTGCATGTATGTTTGTATGTATGTCCTCACTTTATTGTTTTGTTTTCTAATGTATCAACTTGTACATTTGGAAAAAAAGACACATTTTTAAATTCTGATTTTGTTTCTTTCCTTCCTTCCTTTCATTTCATTTCATTTATTTATTTGTCTTCTACGATTATTATTATTATGATGATGATATGTACACTGTTTGACTATTCTAATTAAAGTGATTGTGAGATTGTATTTATTTGTTTTGTTTAACGTACTTATATAAAGTCGTCAATACTTGATCATCAGTCGTCAATTGAATCTGAGTCCGGATTAACTCTGAGACGACTGGATTGTTAGTGGGAATATTTTGAGAAGCAACTCAACTGGCCTACAACTACTACTACTACTACTGATAGCTGCTACCTTAATGTGGTGGTTGGGCTTGCATATTGCAACGACTCAAATAGCTATCTATACTGGCTGGAATTCATGTTCTTGCATATTCTACGATATTAGAAAGGTCTCTTGAATAATGGTTATACTGACAGCAGTTACCACCATTGTGTAATTCGTTTCCACAACTTTTGGGGTCTGAGGGAGAATGAGAATATTGTCAGCAGTAAGGTGTTTCCTAGCTATGATCCCTCTTCGTTCTAAAGCAGTGGGTTAGAAACGGTCAACCGTGAGAATTGCACATCCCTACTTACCTTGTGGCATTCTACGGTCGGTAATAAGACATTTATACAGAGAAATCTTCAGTTAAAACAAGCCAGTGTTAAGCAGTTGTCCTTTGGGCTATGTGGCCACATACACACAACATTGATTCTCTTTCTGTTTCAGATATTCCAACTGCCATGGTATGGGGGTAGCTGAGACGCAATAACCGTCCACAAACTTCCATAATCACGCATAGGTTTCTTAATCATCATTCGCATTCATCTTCCTACTTTTCTGTCACTGTTAATACTACTCCACTTTCAACTCAACAATCAGTAGTAGCGATCTGAGCCGGAAAAAGACTTCTGAAGGTCTCTAAAAACTATGCTGGCAACTTCATATTAGAGTATTGGATATCAGGACGCTTCGTCAAATTGAACGACAGACCTCACTAGCCAGAACTCTAGCATCTCGAACCGTTGGTGTATGTCGTGTTTTGGGGGCGTGCATACGAGCCCTAGATTTAGTTATTCACTAAACCTCACTTGATGAATCTAGAAAATTCACCTTATGGATATCAGAAGACTCTTCGTCCAGTTCGCGACAACTTGTTGGCGTAGGAAGAGTATCCAGTGCTAGGGCAGGAAAGTCACTACTTGACTGAATCCCACTGGATAATCATAAACGTGCTGTTCGGTTGGACGGTTCCGTTGGAAGTGAGTAAGTTTACTATGTTCTTTAGCGTCTTTACATAACATCATCATGGATCCTCTAATGAATATTCTTCTAATTGACTCCAACGACTTAGGGATTCACTCGTTACCAGCCTCCTATATTTACAGAATGCAGATGATTTACAATTCCACGATGGAGACGCTGAAAAATCCAGTCTTCTGAAAACCATGAGCAGAGAGATCTGAGCAGGTCGAGTAAACGATTCGTCCCTATCACCAAATGTTAGACGATGTTGCACGACTTGTTTACACAAACTCCTAGTTTGAAGATGGGTAGAGAGTGAAGTGGTTGGACGTGTTGACCAAGTGAATGATTCGGGGAGTTGCACCAACCCAAATGAAGTGACTAGTTTCTGACGAAATCTCAGAATTGGTACAAAAGACACCTGTGGGATCTTAACAACTTACGTCGTATCTCCTGTAAACAAACATGTTGTCTAGCTATCGATCAAGCCATGTGTGCACTACATAACAGTTCGCCTTCTCCGTCCTCATGACTGTAGGACGTGGTCATTGAAAGTACGAGACTTTGACGTGATGGGGTTGGCTGTCATTGACCAAAAGTGCTTGTCATCTATCCATCTCTCGTGTTGGGTGACATTATATGATGAGTAATATTGAGGTTAGGAGGGTCGTGAGATTGCATCGAATGAGATGGTTAGGACACAACTTAAGCGTACCAATTCATCATCGACCTCGTTGAGTCATGTTACCCAACTTAGGAATGGGAGAGTATTGATGGTCCAATTAAAACACCGCATTAATTCATCAAGTCTTTGAGTGTTGTTTCCAGGCAGCGATGTAGGGAGGTGTAGACTGCTTGGCTGTTAGGCGAACTGGAGTCATCGAGATGCTAGTAATTAATGGTGGATGGAGACTGTTGGTGACATTACACGACCTAAGATCCCTCTTACTGGTCAAGGTCCATTCCCTCTTTACCAACGACTCTTAGATCCATCAAAATCTCGTTACTTTGTGTGTATTTATTGTTCCTCCCGTTCACTTATGCTCATTATAGTTGTTTCTTTGAATAATTTGTCTACCTTTGTGTGGCATATGGTGTGTGGTGATTCGGATTGCCACATTTTTTGCCGTCGTCTCCTGCGAATCCTCGTCGTGCCTGTCTTGTCTTGAATCCCTCTGCTACTTCCATTGTTTTTTGCATTGTATATCACTGTATGTTATATATATATATATATCATGCATGTCATTCTCAGGTGCTGTATTCCTCGCTACCCATCTAGGTCCTACTCCATAGCCTGATAGATGATGCCACTCAGCAATTTCATAAATGTACATCGAGTTAGTCTCCGCTTTTCTTTTATTGGTTTTGTGGTCAATAAGTTCCTGGCTAATTTGCTGACATATCTCTTCGTCGCTTTTGCTTTCCAATCGGCCAGTTCATGTACAGTATTCAAGTAATGAAGGCGGGTATCGTTGAAAGTTTTCAGTTGCCTTGTGGAAATGAGTTTGTTGACGCGTGTACCAAATCTGTGAATCATGTTCAAATACTGACTTGACATTAGTGTGAAATGTATTCAGATCTTGTTTCCTGTGTTATGTCCGTGTGTGTCGATCTGCACACTTATTTCAGAGCAATGAGTGACTGTTTTGCTTTTTCAGTGTAGCTGTATCATTCTCATCCGTACTCCCTGTCTGTCGTTGAAATGATGCCGCCCAGGTTAATGAAAGAAGTGACTTCAAATTTCTCGAAGTCCATATCTCCCAGTAAATTCCCGTCAGTTCAAACTATACCCACCTTCTCACT